CTGCAGCCCTCAGAGGCCCCTCTGACCCTGGAGCCCACAGCACGTGCATTCAGCATGCTGCTCTCCCTGCACCTGGGTTTCCCTGGGACACAGGCTTGGAGTAAGGAGGTCCTTACTACCTAGCAGGAATGGGAGTGGTGGTGGTGGTGGGGAGGGCGGGGGGGGGGGGCCAAGTTTGAAAGCAGAAACTGACTTGTTCCTATAGCTGATTTGCTGGGCTGGGAAAGCACCACTCAGCTCTGTGGACAAAAAGGAAATGGCACACTGGGGAGTAAAGAGAGCTCGGGACAGTCCTTGTCTGAGTGTCCAGCTAGTCAAGGAAGCACCCCGGCCTTTCCCCCCACTGAGAACCACCCTGGGGAGCAGTCCAGCTGTGCCAGGCTGGCCCCAGAGAGAAGCCCTGGGCAGAGAGTCCTCAGCTGGCAGATGGGGAGCCCCTGAGACACCAGCCACAGTCTCATCCCTGCCCATAACCCCTGCATGTGAGGTCACCCTTCTTTTCTGAGTGCCCAGGGCAGAGAGTGGGTGAGCTTAGTGGCCCTCAACCAAGGCTGCACATTGGAAGCAGCTGGGGAGTTTGTAATAATGACAGATGCCCAGGCCGCACCACAAACCACTTGAATCAGTGTCTTTGAAGGCAGGACCCTGGCATTGTTTGTTTTACTTTTAAGCTCCTCAGTAATTCCAGTGTGTGGCCCAGCAGAAAGCTACTGGCCTAGACCATTTCCAGGTCCCTGCCATTGGTTTGGTCCTATGGAAACAACTTGTTGGGTGTATCTCCTATCTCCCATTCTCAGAGCACCCGTAATTGTATTGTAGTCTCACTTATGTTTTTTTTTTTTTTTAATTTATTTTTTTGAGACAGAGCCTCAAGCTGTCACCCTGGGTAGAGTGCTGTGGCATCACAGCTCACAGCATCCTCCAACTCCTAGGCTCAAGCGAGTCTCCTGCCTCAGCCTTCCAAGCAGCTGGGACAACAGGCGCCCGCCACTATGCCTGGCTATTTTTTGGTTGCAGCCGTCATTGTTTGGCAGGCCCAGGCTGGATTCAAACCCACCACCTTAGGTGTATGTGGCTGGTGCCTTAGCCACTTGAGCCACAGGTGCTGAGCCATGATTCCTTATTCTTAATAAAAGTGAAATTGTGATCAAAGTCAAATGTGATGGAGCCTCTACTACCCACGCATGGAAAGGAACACTTCTTCCCCCTTCTCTATGATGTAAGGAATCCTGCCAGGGAAGGGATTCATCTCCTGCACTAGAATGTAGAGGGAAAAATGGAAATACAATTGGCTTTCAAGGCTCCTCTTTTCTTAAGTTGGTAGCAGATTCACATCAGGGGAAAAATAAAGGTCTATACTGACACTAATCTCTCAGAAGCTGGCAGGAAAAAGTGAAAGAAAAGAATAAAACTTCAAGATTTCCCCCAGGTCTTCACTGATCTAAATACCCATCATTTAGAGGTAAATAGTTCTACTTATTATAGGGTGGAGAAATTGAATTATAATGAAAGGGAGAGTTCCAAGGAGGGGCATAGAAAAGAGAAAAGAGCCAAGTGAGAGCTTCCCCTGAAGTCAGGGGTACCCTGTGATTGCTTATGTAAATGTTGCCTGGGAATGGAAGGTAGGGAGCAGGAAACCCCACATCCACAGGGGACAATCCTTCTTCACATGTCTTGCTGCAGACACAGAATCCAGAAGCAGAGATATAGAGATAAAAAAAATCACCCCCTCCCTTTTGTCCTCAGAATCTCCAGAGTTTGGGAAGTGTTGAGAATTCCCAGTTATGGTGTTATTGTTTGTAACTTGTTTCTGCTGAATTCTGGTTGATAGGCCAAATTTATTACCAATCAGAAATCAGCCCCAGGATCAAATGCCGTCACCCTTCTAGCCACCAAAGTTGAGGCATAGATGGCAGGGGGAGACAGTTAACTCATTCCTTCAACAGATCTACATAAGGTCAATAACTCCTATGTGTTTGTAGCATCCAACAGTTAAGCAACTTCCCCTCAATTATCAAAGCAGATAAGCAAAAGAGGGACCTGATCACCCTGAGTCCAAGGTTACAGAGTAGTGGAGCAGGGACAGTTACTCACAGGTAGAGCAGCACCAGGCTGACAGCCAGGAGAACCCAGGTTTCCATTGCAAAGTCTGGGATAAGATTCATCTCCACTCTTCTTCAGTTCTCTTCTCTGAGTTGTTCTCTCAGCTTTGTGCTGCTCTTTGCTGGGCTGGATGTGTGGAACTTTCCTTCCCAGTCTAGTGGTGATTCAGACGCTGGCTGGAATGTTTATGTGTTGAGAAAGAAGGCAGGGCCAAAGCTGCAGCCAATAGTAGAGCCGTATGTGCTCCACCTACATTGAAGGAGCCCTCTCCACCTTGGCAGTTGGCAAAGCATCATAAACACTCCCACACTGACCTTTTTGGAGTTCATATTCTGGGGGAGATTATGAACAAACAACTCAGTCAGTGCTATCAGTATGTCCAAAGGTTGTGGATTCTATTCAGGATTTCATGTGCAGACATTGGCATTTAATCTCCTCTACTCTGCCCTTGTCTCCATGGCAGCCATTATTCTAAAATATGTGAAATCCACCAAGACAAAGTGCGTCTACAGATCTTTAGCCACATAGCTTCCTCTGCCTTCACTGCCTCTGAGTCCCCTGGAAGACTCCTACTCATCCTCAAATCCAGCCAGATAAGTCCTTCTGTTACAAGTCCTCCCTCCCCAACCTCCCTACACAGCTGTAACCCCTTCCCCCTCTGGGCAATTCCATCCCATCCTATAGTTCTGCTGTCGTCCCCTCTACTCTCTGTTACCACTGTGGGTGTCCACACTAGTGTCCCTGCTAGAAGGAGAGCTTCTCTAGGGCACAGTGAAGGCACAGTCTGGTATTTTTCATAGCTATTTCTTTAGCTCTAGCCGAGTGCTCCATAGACAGTGGACCTCCAGAGAGGCTGATGGAGTTGAGCTGGGACACTGCTGGGTCCCATGTATCCCTTCTCTGACTCTGTGGTAACCACGCTGTCTTCCTGTATTATTTACACAGCAGGAGGGCTTGGCTGTGCCTCAGCTGCATCTCTGCACATTGAGGCTGAACTGCTGTGATTCTGTAGGCAAGAGAGCTCCTAAGGGAAGGACAGGGGTGGACAAGATGGAGCTGATGGCTGCACAAACAGCATTATTCCTGCTGCTTCCTGCACACTATCAGGGGGTCCTGCAGTAAACATAAAGGCTATGTTAACCAGTTTGATGGAAGTGTTTCAGATTGTGTGTGAAAACCCCACACTGTACCCCAGAAGTGCATTAATGTACATAGTTACCATTTAATAATAAAAAAAAAGTGGCCATCTCTTCTGAAAAGCCTGCAGGTTAGGGAACAAAGGTCTGAAAGGAGAGAAGAAGAAAACAGAGTTACATATCTGCCTGGCCTGAGGAAATAGGGATTATATTACAAACAGAACCTCAAAGTTCTTAAAATCAACAGAAATAGAGTACATTTAAGCTGTGTTTGTTTACTTCCTTCTTTCTGTCTCCTTTCTCACTTTTAGCCCTACCCTCCAAACTGTTAATCAACTCTCTCCAACTCTTTTTATTCCTCTGGCCTGTAAGCTGCCAGAGCAGTTTGACACTGGCCTGAGTAGGTGGATGTCTCATTGATAAAATGTATTAAGTCACAACTATCTCATTAGAGTCTTTTTCTTTTCCTAGTAGCTGGTTGAACAGCCTGACATGTCTATCATTGCTGTTTGTCATTTTGGGATTAACGGTTTCATTGGGAAATACCTGTGAACATCCATAGCTCCCCCTGTAAAGTTTATTGCAAGAATTTTTCTGTTTATCTATGCACTGATTCAAGGCCAAGGGTGGTGACTGTTACAAGCAGGTATTGTGCCAGGCATGGGTTGGAAGCCACACTGTCCTTTTTTTTTGGGGAGCAGCCTTCCACTGGAGGGAGAGAGAATCATAGATACTCTGGGGTGGTGGTGTGCACATGGAGTCTCTGGGATGATGGAACCCTACAGAGAGGTCATTGAAAGAAGTAGTGGAAAGCTTATGTACCCAGAAACACAGACATGAGAATCTGGAAGAAAATTCCCAAGACAAGTGAAATAAAAGGTTGGAGAATTCTGATAAATTTCTGTCTCTTTTCAGTGGCTTCCCTGGCTTCTGTTAAATAGGGTTATGCTGGTATCTCTGGATTATAGTTGTAGAAACTGGGATTCAGTAACTACAAGTGGTTTCCCAAAAGGTATTGATCAAAAGAAAATATTATGTATAAAACTAACATGAAGGGTGATGAAAGGTCCTCTGCTGCTCTGTACACCAGTATTCAACACCTGCTGCTCCCTGAGAAGGCTCACTAGGGGAAATTGTGAGACTTGGGAATGAAACAGAAGATTGGTTGTGATTCTTTTTTTTTTTTTTTGAAACCAATTTAAGCTTTATAATTAAATTTATTAAAGCTTCACAATTTGTTTCTTGTCCATTGTTCAGATTCTTATTCCTATCTCTTTGATTACTCCACAGCAGTTCACCCAGGGTTTTTCAGAACAAAGAACTCTATCTCATCCCAGTAGGGAGAAAGAAAGATGCCAGTTCTGACCATATTAAGGGTGTTTTGGGGGAGGATCTCCCTCTCTATCCTTCAAATCTGAGAGGTCCACAGAACATATTCACACAAGGAAAGGTTATTGTGTCATCTTATAACTATTGACAACTTGATTAACTCACCTAAACGGAAATCTTTTCTTATTCCTTCTGAAATAAAGCCCCTCTAAGAACTAACGTGTTGCCGGGCGCGGTGGCTCACGCCTGTAATCCCAGCACTGTGGGAGGGAGAATCGCTGGAGCTCAGGAGTTCGAGACTCGCCTGAGCGAAAGTGAGACCCCGACTCATGAAAAAAATGGAAAAACCCAGCCGGGCGCCGCTGGGAGCGCCTGTAATCCCAGCGGCTTCCAGAGGCTGAGGCAGCGGGATGCCCACAAGCCAGGAGTTGGAGGTTGCAGTGAACTACCAAGCCGCTGCACTCTGCTCAGGGGCACAGGGTGGGACTCTGTCTCGACAAAAAAAAAAGAACTAACGTGTTTTCATCTTCCTCCAAAACACATATTTGCCCAAGAATATTTTATAACTATGCCTCACATGATCACTCACCTCTCCTATGACCCTCTCGAATTGACTGATTGGAATCTATACCAACAGTAGTAGATTAGTCAATGGGTGGGACTAACATGTAGCTCATGCCGTGTCCTAACCAATGCAAATGGACTTGCTCTGCAAGGGTAAGTAATAGGAGGCATTTTTTGGTGTGTGCTACTTAATTCTAGAGGAAGTAATATCTTCCCCTGAAGAGATTTACATACTAAGAGTTATGCTGAATGAGTCTAGGAAGACATTGTGTGTCAGAACACTCGAACCACTGTGTATGTATGTACTCACTTCTGCATTAAAGCATTCATAATGTACTTTGAAGCTGTGCTTGAAGTGATTAGGGTACAAAGGTGACCAAGGGGCAGATATTATTCTGTTTCAAGATAGAGACAAATAAACATAATTACAGTCCAGCCAAGGAAAAGTAATCAAAGGTGTATGAGAAACATAGCATTCTCATTAATATTGGATGGCTAATCTCATTAGCACTGAATCAAAGTTCAGTCTCTAAGAACATTCAGAGAGGCATTGGGCTCAAATGTGTCAGTGCACAGGTTGTTCAGGGACTCAGTGATGCCAAAAGCACTATCCTTCTGATATTTCTGTCCTATATATTGTTAGCTCAAGTGGCTCCTCTTCTGGGAAGCCTGTTCTGAGTTCCACTGACCACGTGAATTGCTTACTGTATAAGGAGGCAGCATTGCTTAGGTATGATTTGGTAACAGAGATGAACTTCACAAGTCATGATCTAGAGGCTGTAAAAACATGAAAGGTAGATTATCTGTAACTTAGCTCTCAAGTTCCCATTCTTTTCAGCAGAGGAAAACTTGATTTTCCCAAATGTGTAAACTGGTTGTATCTCAGTTTGGTGGCTGGAAGAAAGGACTAGCCAACTCTTCTGGGCCTCATGGTTGAGAATTGTGGTGAGGACAGTGGCAGGTCTGTGGACATTCTCTCTTGGCATTGGAGGAGCTAGGCATCTTACTCCCATGTCATTGCAGGTTGGTTGGATTGTATATCTGTTGTGTTGAGTGCATTTTAAGCACTAAGTATATAAGAGTCAGAATCCTTGCCCTCATGAAGCTTATACTCTAACAGGAGAAAACAAAACTGAACAGATAAATATTGGATTATGAATTGGGATAAAGCTTATGAAGTAAAAGAACCATTAAACACAAGTCTTTCTTTCCTTAATGCTATCCTCCTTTGAAAGGTATGAAGACAAGAGAATGAACAGGACATTGGACGGGAAGTATGAGAACTTGGGGCTGCCTGGACCTGTTTCCTCATCTGTCTGTGAGGGAATTTGACTAGACTTGACTCAAGAAGAACTATGATGCAGGTCCTCTTTATCCCAATCAGAACACCTCTGCAGGATTGCCGCCTCTCTTGACTTTGTGTCACCTTAGAATTTTTTAAGATATTGTTTCCCTTTTCTTCTTCTTCTCTTATTTATATCATTTATGGTCCCCCAGATCTTTCAACCTCATTGGAGGAAAGTATCAATTTACAGCTGGGAGCTATAAATTCTCAATTGGTTTTTCTTTTTCTTTCTTTCTTTTGAGATGGAGTTGCAAGCTGTCACTCTGGGTAGAGTGCTGTGATGTCATAGCTCACAGCAACCTCAAACTCGTGGGTTTAAGTGATCCTATTGCATCAGACTTCCCAAGTTGCTGGGATTACAGGTGCCTGCCACAATGTCCAGCTATTTTTTGGTTATAGTTGCCATTGTTGTTTGGTGGGCCTGGGCTAGATTAGAACCTGCCAGTTCTGGTGTATGTGGCTGGCACCCTAGCCACTTGAGCTATAGGCGCCAAGCCTCTTAAGTGGTTTTTCAACTGGGATTGCAGAAAAAGTCTCACATGCATATTCCCACTCACACACTCACACACAGACTTTACATTAGTGAGTGAGAGATAATTTCTGTCATTCTAAGTACTGTTCCCGTATTAACTAATTTGATGTGTTCAACAACTCTATGTCGTTGGTATTGTAATGATCTCTGTTTTACAGATGAGCAAACTAAATCAAAGAAAGGTTAACTGACACATTCAAGATTACATCGCTAGTTACTAGCAGAGCCAGGATTCAAATTTAGATCCTCCAGCTTTAAAGCCCAAA